CCTTTGGTTTGAAAACTTGATCACCCCCCAAATACCCGTTCAAGTAGTCACCCATCTCTCCCCCCCCCCCCCCTTGTCAATTCCCTCCTCCCCTGGACTTGTCTGGTCTGCTGCCCGGCTCCAGGGATTTGTCTCTTGGGGAGAGTGCGTAGAAAGGCAGTCTTCTACTGATTTCTTTCATTTGACACAATGCTTGGGAAACTCTTCCTGGTTGTATCCCTTCACTGTCCTTCACCCCTTTCTGTGGATGAGGGAATAGCCTGCCATTTGGCGTGCGCTAATTTGTTAACCCATGGTCTGTTGGCGGTACTTGGGCCGTATGTACCTGTTGGCTGTGATGGGTGATGGTACCTGATGTTTTGCATGCCCCTCACTGTGTGGACTGTGTCTGTTTTACCTGGGTATGTCTATGCAAGTGGAAAAACTGAGACACATGCTCATTATGGGGTTAACATTTCAGGAAATTGCCAGTATTTCCCACTGGTCTGGATTAGTGTGCACACTTGAGGCATGAGGGCTCCAATTTCTCTATTTGCTCATGTTTAATTTCCAGTTCTTGAAAATATATAACCAATATTTCTTTGTTTTTTAAAAATATTTGTTTTAATTGGAAAAACAGATCAGATTTACAGAGAGAAGGAGACAGAAAGAAAGATATTCTATGCAATGGTTCACTCCCCAAATGACCACAATGACTGGAGCTAAGTGAATCTGAAGGCAGGAGACAGGAGCCTCTTCCTGGTCCCACACACAGGTGCAGGGTCCCAAGGCTTTGGGCCATCCTCTATTGCTTTTCCAGGCCATAAACAGGGAGCTGGATGGGAGGGAGGTGGATCATCTAGGGCACGAACCAGTGCCCACGGGGATCCTGGTGGTTGCAAGGTGAGGATTTAGCCATTGGGCTATTGTACTGGGCCCTAGAGCCAACAATTTGACAAATTGAGCCCAACCAGTTGTAGCCATTTTCCTAGGTCAATAAAGTATAGTAAAGTCACTGCGATTTGTAGAAACACTGGCTTTTCTGTTGAACACTTACAGTCTAAATTTTCACTATTAAATACTGCAAAAATGAATGTTCTTATACTAAACTTTGTATTTTTGCAGAAGAATGTACAGGTGTATTACTAAGAGAAAGATAAATGATCCCATGCTGGATGAGCTCAACTCTGTGATGCTTTAAGACTGAACTCTGGAGACAGTAACTTGAGCGGTGGTTGTGTGGGAGCGGAAGCCATGGGCACCAGGGGTTGGCAGGGCAATGGGATGGTTTTGTAACTAATAGGTGTCTACCATCACACACTTATCAAAACCTACAGGAGGCCTGACACAAACTGAGAGCCTGCACATTGGACTGTGAACTTGGGGTTCACATAGCTTCACCACTTACAATAAATGCAGTAAACTGGTGCAGGATGTTGAAAGTGAGGGGGCTTGTTTGTGCGGGGGGAGAGGGCCTGGCTCTTTTTACTTTTGTTCAGTCCTGATGTGAACCTGAAACTGCTTTGAAAAATCAAGTCTACCGAAGTGAAAAAGAGAGCAAGTCACATCCAACAGGACTTTTTTTTTTTTAAGATTTATTTTATTTTTATTGGAAAGTCAGATATACAGAGAGGAGGAGAGACAGAGAGAAAGATCTTCCATCCGATGATTCACTCCTCAAGTGAGTGCAACAGTCGATGCTATGCCAATCCGAAGCCAGGAGCCAGGAGCTGCTCCCAGGTCTCCCACACGGGTGCAGAGTCCCAAGGCTTTGGGCCGTTCTCGACTGCTTTCCCAGGCCACAAGCAGGGAAGTGGAGCTGCCAGGATTAGAACCAGGGCCCATATGGGATTCTGGCATATTCAAGGTGAGGACTTTAGCTGCTAGGCCACGCCGCCGGGCCCAGGACTTTTTTTTTTAAAGGTTTCTTTTGTTATTGGAAAGGCAGATATACAAAGAGAAGGAGATACAAAGAGAAAGATCTTCTGTTTTGGGTTTTCTCCTCAAATGCCCACAGCAGCTGGAAATGATCTGATCTGAAGTCAGAAGCCAGGAACCAGGAGTCTGGAACCTCCTTTGGGTCTCCCATGCAGACACAGGGTCCCAAGGCTTTGGCCCATCCCAATTGCCCTCCCAGGCCACAAGCAGGAAGCTGCATGGGAAGTTGAGCAGCCAGGATACAAACCAGCAGCCATATGGGATCCTGGCAGCTGCAAGGCAAGCGCTGGGACCCCATCTAATACCACTTTGAAGTTAGCGTGTTTTTTTGTTTGTTTGTTTGTTTTTTATCAGAAAGTCAAATTTACAGAGAAGAGACAGATCTTCCATTTGCTGGTTCACTTCTCAAGTGGCTGCAACAGCTGGAGCTGAGCCAATCTGAAGCCAGGAGTCTCCCATGTGAATGTATGGTCGAAGGCCCTGGGCCATCCTTGACTGCTTTTCTAAGTCACAGTCAGGGAGCTGAATGGGAAGTGGGGCGGCCAGGACACGAACCAGCATCCATATGGGATCCCGGCACATGCAAGGTAAGGACTTTAGCCACTAGACTACCTTGCTAGGACCTAAAGTTAGTATTTTAAACAGGCAGAATATTCAATATTCAGTAAATATTTTCAGACTTGGAATGGCGAAAGCTGCCCCAAATGCAACTGCTCAGTGTGGATGGGATCCCATCCTAGGAAAAACAAGGCCAGTTGTCCCCCTGGTCCTTTTGTGGGCAGAATTGTGAAGTGGTCCTAGCAAAGGGATGGTTCACTAAGTGTCCACTCAAACCCAAACTCCATTAGGTGAGAAGACATAGTAAAACACTGAGACATACAGGCAGTAGGGTGTCCTTGTGAACTGGATCATTCCAGAGCAGGGCAGACAGGCCCAGTTCTGGAGGACAGCCCACCACACGCTAGTGACCCCTTGAGTATGAAGCGCCTTACCCATTGGTAAAGAGCCAGGCTTCCCCCGAGATGCCCTGTTGTAAACCTGAAGCTGCACACAGGCACACAGAACAGGACAGAGACTTGCTTTGGGGCCCAAGAGAAGGAAAGTGTTTCCAAACGAGTCACCACGTGTTTATTCTGCAGGTCCACACCGGAACTGGCAGTATCTGAGCTCAGGGAGAGTCCCATGCAAACTGCCCTGCAGCCTCCAATGTGCCACCTGTGTGGGAGAAGCTGTCACCACAGCCCGATGTGACTCTGTGGCATTGGAGTGTGTCAGCACCACTGGGGGGGTCCTGCCAGTTCACCCTGGTTCAGCTTGTACTTCACTTTGCTGACAACTGCAAAAATGAACATCTGGTTGTCTGGCTCTGCTCTGGAGAGCAGGGGCACAGCTGGGCTACTTCAATAGGAAACCCAAATAAAGCAATTAAGGTATCAGCACCCTTGACAGAAGACCCCAGTGAAACTTCTGAAACACTGCATCTCAGGAGCTACGATTTCCCAAACCAGGTGAACCCCAATGAGCTTAGCGCAGCAGGCAACTGGGAGACAACTCATGCCTGTGGCCTTCTGGGAGCTGCTGGACTGCAGTTCTATGTTCCTCACAGTTGTCAAACCAGGCTCCCAGCCCTCTCCAACTTGGCTTGAACATAGCATTACAAGGTTTCATTCTCCATAAGAACAGAACCTCTTCCTGTCTGGGAAGAACTGGTCCTGGAACCCAATAACCCTAACCTTGGCCCTTTGCCAACTGGGACTTCCATCCTTCAGGGAGGAAAAAAAGTCTTGGCCAACTGCAAGGGGGGAAAAGAGGTTGCCCTGAGGTGGGCTGTTGTGGGTAGAACTGCAAGATGCCAGTCTTTGACACCTCATTTGGTCCACTTTCCTACTTCTGCTCCTTTAAATCTCACTGCCTGAAAAGCGAGGAAGTGCTGGACATGACTGCCACAGGTCATCATGGCATTTTTGTTTTAAAAAGATAGATCTACAGAGAGGAGAAATGAGAGACTTTCCACCTGCAGGATCATTCTCCAAGTGGCCACAATGGCTGGAGCTGAACTGACCTGAAGCCAGGAGCCAGGAGCTTCTGCTGGGTCTCCTATGTGGGTGCAGGGTCCAAATGGTTTGGGGCATCCTTTGCTGCTTTCCCAGGTCACGGGCAGGGAGATGGTAGGGAAGTGGAGCAGCCAGGTCACAAACTGGTGCCCATATGGGCTTGGAGGTGGATTATCCAGATGAACTGTCACTGGACATTTGTGTGGAAAACAGCCAATAGCCCTAGTTGGGGCAGACAGCATTCTCTCCACTGCTACTTAGATTTCTGACACTCAAGGGAAGAAACCTGAAGAACCACTCATCTTAGCCTAACTCCTAAATACAGAAGGAGTCAGCTTGTCTGGCATAGCACTTAAGAGCCAGTGTGGGATGACCACATTCACATCTCTGTCCCTAGGTTTAAGGTTTTAGTCCTGGATCTGCTTTTAATCCAGTTTACTGCTAATGCACATCTTGGGAGAGAGACAGCATATGACAGTTCAAGCACTTGGGTCCCTGTCACCCACATGGAGACCTGGAATGAGACTCTAAGTTGTTGCAGGCATCTGGGGAGTGTATCAGTGTCTAGATCTGTGTCTGATTTTCCAACAAACAAAACAATAAAGCCCCAGGCTTTGGTGGTAACCTTGGATCTTGTCTCTGGAGTATTCTAAACCTTTCACTCAGTGCCTTAGAAAATGAATCAATTACTAAATGAAAGTACAGGCAAGGAGAGGATGCACTTTGATTATTGGCCAAGAATTCCCTTAGGAAGTTCCACCCTCTCTCCATCCTTCCAAGCATAACATACTGGTGCTATTAAGGGAAACTGTGAGACATGAATCAGCAGCACGTCAGACAGCCTAATGACAAGAGTGAGGGGGCGTTGAGACACCCCACCAGGCCAGGCTTTAGAATCACAGATTGGCTTTCCCTGCCAGCAGTTCAGCTACCCCGTGGCTAAAATTCCCAGGAAAGTGGGTCCCCTTATTTTGTCCTGTCCCAAGGCTCGGAATTCCTCTTCAAGGATGCAGAGAGCAAAGCTGGAAATCAAGTTTGGGTCCTTTATTCCACTGAGCAGGCACACCCAGTGGCCACCTGCTGAATGCCATCACATGGCTCAGGCTGATGAAGAGCCCTGGGTACAAGGGACACAGGCACTCGGACTCTGCTTTCCATGGATGGTGGAGTGGGCAATGCAGAAGAGAAACGAAGAGGACACAGGGATGTGAATGTTGGAAGGCCTTGGGGGCCTAAGTTGAGTCTCAGAGGCAAGAGGCGATTTCCACCCAGTTCTGGTGTCTGCTGACGGCCACCCTGAGGCTGTGGAGAGGCCGGCGAGAGGGGAAGCTGCTTTTGCTATGATGCTGTACTCTTCTAGATTCTTCTGCGAGTCCCTTTCCTTCTTCTGTGGCCAAAGATGTGATCAAGAAAGGGCACAGGGGACTGCTAATGTCTTGCACAGGATTCATGTGCAAGAAGAATGTAGGAGTTGTCGCTGGTTGGGAGCTCCATCTTTCTGGAGGTGAGCTGTGTGACTTTTTAGGGGTACGTCAAGATGGAGGGAAGTGGCAAGAGGAGAAAGGAGGGCAGCTGAGGGAACTTGCCACCCTAGTAAGGGGGCTGGGAGCTGTGTGTGGGAGGCCGAGGCAGCTCTGGAGCCAGTCCCCATGAAAGATAGAATTGGGGCAGAGCTAACTGGTCACTCGTCTGGAAGATGGACCTCAGGCACCAAGTAAAAAAGATGCCCATGCAGAGCCACTTCCCCTTATCTCCCAGCAGTTTCAGATTGTTGCCCCGTGACAGTGGCTGTGTCTATTGCTGGGATATCATGGCAAGTGCCCAGTCCAAGAAAGCCACAGTAATGTCCTGTAGGCAGAGCCAGGTCCAGTGGGTAGCCTCACTGAGCTGTGTCTTCACGCAGTCCCAGGTCACCTCACCTCTGGGAGGAAAGCAAGATATTCCTGAGGTCAGGATTTGGGTAGAGTTCAGACCCACAACCTTCACCTCATGGTGGCCAAGCGAGGGAGAGAGCAGTGCAAGAACCTCAACAGGGAGGCCCTTGCGCTTGTGCCCAGGCAGTGGAACTACCAGGGAGCCTGTCAGAACCCTGGTAAGGGTCTCACCTGCACGCCTCATGGAAGTGCTCCTGGACTCGGGCCAGGGCCTCAAGCAGCAGGTGCCACAAGGGCAGCAGCACGTTCTGGTAGAGCAGCAAGAGCAGCTCCCGCAGGAAATGCAGCAGCTGCGGCAGAGCATCTGAGAGTTGGATCTGCAGCCAGACCACAGAGAACAGATGGGATCCAGGCCCGGGGATGCATCCTGGCCCTAAGGAGCCATTTCACATGGGCTGCCCTTGCCCAGCCTCCCTGTCCCCAGCTTACCCTCTCAAAGAGACTCGTGAGGCTGTCACTGCCCCAGGCCAGGAGGGAGGCACAGTGGGCGGAAAGGAAGCTGACGGTGGTGTTGGTGTGTGCCCAGGCCAGCTGCAAGCTGGGCTGCACCACAGTCAGCAGGTGGGAGCCGCAGGCTGGCAGCGTCTCCTCCAGCCAGCTGTTAGGGAAGAGGAGGAGAGCCTCCTCAGTCCAGCTTGCTCTCCCAAGAGCGGGGAAGGTAAAGCACGGGTGCTCTCACCACCCTTGAGGATGCCAGCGCCAGCTGAGACTTCTTTCCCACCCCTGCCCAGCCCTGGGAGCAGCTCACCTGTAGCCCTGCAGGCTGTAGGAGTAGAGCTTGGCACATGCTTGTTGGCTAGCAGGCAAGAAACCAGAAGACTGCAGCAACCGACCAGCAAGGGAGGCTGAGGACAGGGGCCTCTGGTGAGCTGGGATCAGATGAGGGGGCAGGGACCAGGGGGACACTACAGGCTCAGGGCAAGCACAGTGAGGCAGTGGAGGCAGAACCAAGGGTGCTCAGAGGGCTCCTGCAGGCCAGAGGGCTGAGCCCCAAAGGTTTGGGCCGCAATGTCTGTCCTTCACTTACTAGTTGTGATTTTGAGCTCATTGCTAAATCTGAACTTCAGTGTCCCTAGCAGTGAGGAGGCCACACCCACTCAATGGGTGCCATGAATATGCAAGTGTGTCTACACTGCCAAGATCAGCCCAACCTGGAGTGTTGCCTTCTTAGCTGTGGACAGAACCATCTGCATGAACTTGATCTGCAATATCGAGGAATGATCAGAATAGTGTGTATGCTACTGGGTGGAGTAGGGGGCACCCCTAACTCTGTGCCCACCGCCACCCTATCTTCCTTGTTTGCCACTTAATACTTACCCTGGAAAGAGCTGTGTGACCGGAAGTCATGGCAGAAGAAACCTACGGCAAAGACCAGCAGCAGCAGCAGCAACCGCCTCCATGGCAGCCCAGGGCCCCGTGCCTGCTGCAACAAGCCCTAGAAGTTGGTAGAATGGAACAGTGGTCAGAGGGCAGAAGAAGTAGGCTTGGGCCGTTCAGCAGGCCTCAAGCCAGCCCTTCTAAGAAAAGGGTCAAGACCTCATGTGGGCTTCAGGAGGCAGCAGAGGCTTCCACAGGCAGGGACAGGGGGTGGGGCAGGAATGCAATGCCAGCCCAACCCAGGGTGTGCCGATGAGATGGATATCCAGGGCATTGGGGGTGGGAGGCCGGGTGGCGTCGGCACCTTGCAGGCCGCGTCACAGGTGGCGACATCCTGATTGCTGCAGCTGCCCTTGCCCAGCAGCTCCTGGTTAGTAAGCTTGAAGGACTGAATGATTTCTTGCAAGGACTTCTGCACCTACAGAGTAAGCAGATTCGGGCTGAGAACAGAGCGCCAGCCCCCCGGAGCCTCATGTTTCTCCCTTGCTCCACTCTTGTGCCCAGAGCACCAGCTTGCTCAGGAAGCTGAGACAGTAGCAGAGGGGCCCGAGGCCACAAGCCAGATACAGCTCAGTGTGTCGCGATGTCCCGGTGCCTCACCTTCTTGGGAATCTGCTCCCAGGTCCTGAGCAAGTGCTCCAGCAGCAGGCTGTGGGGAAAGCAGCCCTTCCCGTCAGGCGGCCCGCTCTGCTCTTCTCACGGAAGACCCTCCCTCCCCCTTGCCCAATGGGAACAGCATTGCTCCCATCCATTTTTGAGGCGTGAGCCCACAGAACAGGGACCCATGGGCTCTCCCTCCCCCGACCCGGCTATGAACATGGCTATGAATCAGCCTTGGGCTGGGAAGTGACCCCCACCCCCACCTGCCTGGACTGTGACAGGTGCTTAGGGTACAGCTGCCTCCAGACGTTGATGCTGAGGGGGTCCACAGTCAGACACTCGGTCAAGCTACGCAGGAGCTGTGACAAAATACAGAGGGGAAGACTGCTGGAGACACTGGCTGATGAGGAAGAGAGTGAGTGGCCATGTGCATGGCATATGCACTGTGAGAACAATGCTGCTGAGATGTGAAAGCGCCCTGAGAGGTGTGTAGGGTGCTTGGGGGCTCCTGGGCCAGAGCCTGAGCTCACACACCATTGGTTCATCAGCGGCAGGGCGTTCACAGCCTCTTGGATCTGCGTGTGCTGCCCTTTAGGGGTGTCCCTCTGAGGCCAACACTGGAGTGGGTGGGGCAGGTGGCTGTTAAGAGTGGGCCGAGAAAGGTCTGGGGGATGGGCTCCCTGAAGGCAGGGCCTTTGTCAGCAGGCAGAGACCCCTGCAGGACACCCCTGGCAAAGGGTAGGGCAGCTCCCACCGGTTCCTCACCTCTTTCTTCATCTCAGGGGGACAGTTAGGGGTGGCTCTGGACAGGAAGGAAGGGAAGTAGGTATGGAGGGTGGACTCCGGCTTCGCCCCGAATGCCAGCACCTTCAGGCGGGGGTAGAGCTGACACAGCTGTTCCTGCAGGCTGGGGGTGAGGAGGAGAGCCATGCACAGGCTATAATTGCAGCTGTGTGCCACAGGAAACCTTCTGCTTGCCTTGGAACCCCTGCCCTGCCCTGCCCAAGTGGGGAGCCTACTAGGGGTCTTGTGATGCCTCCTGGGAGGGGGCTGGTGCTGTGATGTAGTGGGTTAGGGTGCTGCTTGGGTTCCAGTCCTTGCTGCTTCACTTTCAATCTAGCTCCCCGTTAATGTGTGTGGGAAAGCTGTGTAAGATGGCTTAAGTACTTGGGCCCTTGCCACCTGTGTGGGAGGCTGGATGGAGCCCTGCCCTGGCTGCTGAGGCCATCTGGGTAGTGAGCCAGAAGATGGACATCTCTTTTTCTGTCTCCACTTCTGTCACTTTTTCAGACAAATACATCTTAACAATAACAACAAAAGACTAATTGGAACATCTGTTGCAAGCCACAAAACCTGCTACCCACCACCCACAACCAAGAAAATACCTACATGCCAATCATACCAAAAGGTTAGAGGCGCCCCGACCCAATCCCTAGAAATCTACCCGTGAACTTCCAGGTTGGGGCGGAAATACAAGGGAACTTCATAAACTTTGCAAAAAAAAAAAAAAAAAAAAAAAAAATTTAAAAAATAAGTTTACTATTGTGATCCAAAAAAAAAAAAAAAAAATTCAAAATCCATGCATTCTTTCTGTCATATACATTTCCCATGAACCCTGTGAAGAGCTCTGACATGAATGGATTCTGAAACCTTTTCTGTTTTCCATGAACATTTGGAATCAGCCTTGTACCACACAGTCCTGAGCCTGTGCCAGGACCACTGCCCAGCCGACGCGCCCAGGCTGTCCTACCTGGGTGTGAGGGAGTTGTTGGGCATATATGCAAAGTCCAGAAGCGGGAATAAGTCCTTGGGGCCGATCAGACCAAAGCCCTTGGTGAGGTTAGGGTGCATCCTGTGAAGGAAGAGACAGGCTTGTGACAAACTCCCCCTCAGACCAGCTGCTTTGGCCACGACCCTAGCCAAGCCAACATCTAGGAGAAGAAAGATAAACGGGGTCCCTGGTCCACGATGGCTCTGCTTCCCTTGTCAGCATCGCAAGGGCAGGTGGGAGGAGCTGGTCCTGATAGCCCCGCATCTACAGAGACCAGGACTGCAGCATCCATTCAGCCCACACCCACTGCAGATAAGCTGGGCCTGCCCCTCGTGGGGCCCCATCACTCACAGGAGCAGCCGATCCAGGTAGGCGATGGCAAACGGAGACAGAGCTTTGATTCCCAGCACAGGCAACATGATGCCCAGCCACACTGTGGAGTCAGAGTTGGGGAGCAGACTCAGGCCGCCACCCTTGGCGGGGACACCATGGGGAGCTCCCTGGCTCTAAGACCTGCCCTCTCTCCTCCCCACTTGCTGTTACCTTTCAATCCCTCAGTGAGGTTGGTAAACCCTGCTTGACCCAGGGCCCACATGATGGTCAGACACTTCGCTGGTCGGTTCTGGTGGGATCGCAGGAGTTCCAGGAACTAGGAGACAGGGCGGGAGGCGATGGGGAGGCCAGCTAGAGCAGGAAAGCACTTATTGCCCCCTCAACACCAGGGGCAAGAGTCCACTGGGAGAGGAGGGACAGCAAGTCAGAGCAAGGGCCTTGCCCACACCCTGCCACTGTGGTAACTGCTGAACCCCTGTGACTCAACTTGCCCATCTATATAACGGGAACAACAAACAGCGGCACCTGCCTCACACGGATCCAAAGCAGGAGCACAGCCAGCACTCATGGCAGCACTTAGTGCTGCTGGCCTGGAAGTGTCTCCTACTGTTCTTAGTCCCAAGTCCAGCACCCCCTGTCCCGCCCTGGGCTCACCTTGCCCAGGTTTGCAGTGGCAATCTTGGGCTTGTCTTGCAGAATGGCCTGGACACAGATGCGGTAGCCATGCAGCGACTCCCCTGAGGAGACACCTCTTCAGACCTGCTCCCACTGCTGGGCACCCCAAACCCAAAGGCTCCCCCCGGCAGCTGAGAGTTAGGCTCTGTGAACCCCAACTTTCCCCTCCCTTTCTGGACTGGGTATCCACACTCACTTCTTGGTGGAAGTGGAAACAACCACTTGGCCACCATGTTGGATGCATGGAGAAAGTAGTTCCCAGAGTCGGGTAATGCCTCTGGGCACCTCTTACCTGGGGTCTTATCCAGTTCCTGCAGCATGGTGAACAAGCAATGGTCAAAGAAGTGCTCCAGGGATCCCGCTGCCTTTGTCAGGAGACCTCGGATGATGCCACGCAGCTCCCGGCTCACCAGGCTGTAGGGATAATCTGGGGACCGCAGCCCTGCAATGAGTGCTGAGGCTGGGCACCCCCTGAGAACTGTGAGGGAAAGTGGGTGGCCCTGTGCATCCTCCCTTGCCCATGGGCCCCCAATGCTTTGATGCATCAGTAGCTCAAGTCCTTCACAGAATCAAGGCAGTGGGCGGCAGGGGGCTCTGTCTGCAACAAATGGCTCTTTCAGAATTTTCTGGAACTTGTCTGAATTCGAGGGGAGTTGTAAAAACTAACCATGAGTATGCTGGCTCAGTGTGGGCTCACTTTGAGGAGCCTGGAGCTTGTAGTTGAGATAGCTGGCCAGGTCCTTCAGCCACACGGACGGGTTCTCGGAGAACACGCTCTGGCTCTTGTCCAGTTCCTTCTGCAGAGCTGCCACGTCCAGCTGCCGGGGACATCCCCCACATAAGGGTGAGTGAGGGGAAGGGGGAGGAGGTATGCAGGGGGAGGGCACAGTCCAATTTGCAGGTTAGGAAGAACAAGGGTTTCCTGCTTTTAGACCAAAGTTGAGGGAATGACACGATGCTGCTTCAGAAAGGACAGCAGAGACGCTGTCCAGGGGCCTTTGGCACCTGCAGCCAGAAATCACCGACCACTGCTCCCACCGGAGCAGAGCCACACTGGCTTCTCCCGCTCTCCCTGGAGCGCCCGAGCTTGCAGCCTCTCCCTTCCCTACAAGCGTCCCTACTTCCTTTCTGCTCTACGCGTAAGCGCCATGCTCCGTTGAGCTTGCCAATTTTCAATGAACGATTCCTCTTAGCCATCCCGGTCCCGAATCCCACGGGTGCCTCCTTGGGTACACTCATGGCTCTCAAGGCCTCCCCTGTCCCTCAGGCACACTCACGGCTCTCAGGGCCTCCTCCAGGCTGCGGAAGCGGCCTTGCTTCTGGTTTTGGCTGCTGACGGAGGCCGCCTTCTTGGGTTGTTTCTTGTTGACAGGTTTCTTGGGCTCCACAGCAGGTGGAGGAACTTGTTCCTTATTCTGCCGCTTCATGATTTTCTCGAAGCCTCGCTCGTACAGGGTGCTGGTGGTCTGGATGGGTGCTGGGGTAAAGATGGGAAGGGAAAGGGGGCCCCTCTCTGAGTTCCCAAAGCCTCACAGGACCAGCAGTCCCTTCCCTCATTCTGTCACTTAATTGCGGGCAGGGGGTTGCTTAAAGAACAGGCAGGGAGCCCCTCCCAGCTGTGACTGTCACAGCTCTTGAGTTTACCAAGGCTTGTAAAGACATAAAGTGGTTCTTTATTGGACAAATCAGAAGACGTGGGAACTAGCAGAGGGGCGGGATTTAGCGGAATGGCTACTCTGGTCAGTGGTCGTTTAGTCTGGGCACCCTGGCTGTCTCCGGCTGGGTTCTACCCTCCACTCAAATGGGCTCCCAAGTGACGACTCTATGGCAATCAACAAGTGGCAAATCTCCCAGCCTCCGGGACCACCGCTGCGACCACCTCCCACTGCTGGACTCCCGTCTGACCTCCTGCACCAGCCGGTGACTAAAGGAGGGGGTGTCGGGTATCCGTAGCCGGGATGTCGGCCCTCCCAATTTTCTCTCAGACACCTGCCTGGGGAGGGCCAGGGACAGCTGGGAGGCTGGTGTGCAGCAGAATGCATGTTGGGAAAAAGACTCCCGGCCCCTCCAGCACGTGGTCCTGGACATGGGGGTCCAACTTGGGCTGGACTCAGTCCACTCATCCCGGAGGCGAGGTCATCCCCCCGACAGCCTGTGCTGTTGGCCTCTCCAGACACAAGGCAAGGGTGGTGCCAGGGACCAGCCAGCTAGCTGGAGCTCGGAGCGCCCGGCCCCCAGGCTCCGGCAGCTACTCGTAACTGCCCGAGCCGGGGCAGGCCGGGATCGGTGGGCGCGGGCGGACGGGCGATGGACCGGTTGGATACTCACGGGTCAGGTCGTATTTCCACCCGTTCGCCTCCCCGAGCGCACGACGGTCGCCGCCACCTCCTCGCGTGCCGCCTCCGCCAGCGGTCCCAGGCCGTCGACCCTTCTTCACCACTTCCCAGCGCCCCCCACCCGCAATCTTGGCCGCCGCCATAGCTGCAACCCTCCTCGCCCTCCCCTGCGACTTTCCGGCTTTCCGGTGCGGGCGGGCGCGCCGCGCTCTGCCACGTCTTTGCAACTTGCGCGCCGCCGCAAGGCATCTTGGGACTTGTAGTCTCGGTTCTGCCGACACCCCCCCACCCCCGCACCGCTCAGGCAAAAATTCTTGGATGGGAGGTGATGATGACGACACCAGCCCCCGAGCACCCAACGTGTGAGGGTCACTGCGCGAAGAGACTCGGTGGACATTTCAACCTCCTTTCTAGTAGCGCCGCCAGAAAGATGACTTGGAAATAGTTCTCACCGCCAGGGAGAACTTCTTGAGAAATGCTGATTTTTCTTTTAGTGATTACACTTTAATGGCAATATGAAACTTGTGCCAGCGAATGCATAAGGGGGGCGGGGGCTTGAGGTTGGCTGTGGAGGGTCTCCAGGGTCAGAAGGGGGAGAATGGACTCTTCTCAGGGGAGGGCAAAAGAGTCTGGGATTGGGGACTGTGACAGCCCAGGCCCCCTCTTCTGAGCAGCAGGAAGAGGTTGGCTTTGGCTCTAGCTCTGGCCAGGAGTATCAATTCCAACGTCCAGTGGTGGGGCTGCCTGGGCCCCAGGAGCCACGCAGAGGGGTTACTACTCAGATCTCTACCACTTGCCTTCAGCACGCAAGGAGACCCCAAGACTCGAACAGCAGAGGGTGAGGGAAGGTGAAACGAGGTTGAATTGGCATGAGCAAGGGAAGGGGCTATCATGTTCTGTGTAAGGCTCACACTTAAGCTTAAGAGTAAGAGCAAGTTTAGAGGTGAGATTCTTGTGGAGCAGAACAGCGGAGGGACGGGTGGCTGCCTTGGGGAGGAGACAGAAGCAAACTGTAAGGGGTCCAGCAGGGGCGGCAAGAACATGCCCGTTTTCTGTTTCTACTGACTTAAGAGGGTGATGGTGCTGGCTGGGAGTTTGCAGCTGCTGCAGTTGGAAAGGGGTCCGTGCCCACAGGCCAAGGGCCTTACTGCCAATCTTGGCTTTGTCCTCCAGACCCTGGATGCCTGGGAAGGCAGTCTGATCCGTGGGAAAAGGAAAATAGGCTGTGTGAAGGCTGGGATGGGGAGGGGGAAGGAGGTGGGAGTTGGGAGAGGGTCAGCTCCTGTTCCCTACTTGCACCTGTTTTCCACAGTGGCAGAGGAGGGTTCAGCCCATGGTAGAAGCACACAGAAGGGTGATGGGGGAGCACTTGCTCGTTCCCTTCCTGGAAGTGGGCTAACAGGCCATCTGCAGCATCCAGGCCACTAGGGGATGGACAGAAGTCACTTCTCAGGCACTTTGTGAGATGGTACCTGGGCTGCCAGGTGGAGCTCACGTGTTCCTGAGCTCAGAGCCTGAGTGGGAGACAGATGGGTGTTCAGGGAACCAATTTGCCTTCCGAGGTCTAAGTTCCAGTCTGCGTTTCTACCCTCATGGGTGAGTCATGCCACATGTGGGAGGTGACGAGGGGCCCCCAGGAACTCATATTCTTGGTCTCTGTTGGACTTCGCCAGGCACTCCCTGGCAGGTGGACGGGGTTGCTGGCTCCCTGTTTCCATTAGGACATTGGATAACACTGCTGTCCTGGCTACCAGTGGTCAGAACTTGCTGTGTGACCATGTCACCTGGCTATCACAGGGACCTTGTCTTCAGTTGCATTGCTGCTGAGAGCCACGTGAGCTTTAGTAAAGGAGAGGAGTATAAGAGGTGTCTGTCCCCAAGATGACCTGTCCCTGTTGGCCAGGTTGCCTTGTTGTCCCACAGACGCTTGACTGGGCCACCGGACATTGCATCTGCCACCTCAGACCTGTCCCTTGTCAGATACAGTGGGCGGGGATTCCCCCTTCCCATGGCTTCCCTTCCAGACTGTCCCCAGTGCCGGGAGGATGGACCTAGGCCTGAACGGGGTCCTAAGCCCAGTGGTGGGGCTGACTTCTGGTAAGAGCGGGGCCACCACTCCAGGAGAGGGGCAGGTGGCACATGGGCAGTGCCAAGCCCCAAGACCCAGGTGCCACTCAGAGGTGGGAGTTGGGAGGACTCAGAGGACTTTTACCACACAAGTTTATTTAAATAAAAGTGAACATGGATGGACGCAGGCTGGTGCCCGAGGGGCAGGGGTAGGGGTGGGCGCACAGGAGGGTCTAGACAGTCTGTGTGGTATGAGCCAGGCTGCAGGAGGGCATGGCTAGGGCCTGGGGCAATGCTGGGGGTAGGAGGCAGGGGCCAAGGTGGGTGAGCCAGGAGGGGCCAGGGGGTCAATTCCATCCCTTGCATGCGCCCCTCCCTCTCCTTGACCCCCAGGCCACAGCACTGCCTCCTCAGCCCCCTCCCCCCTTCTCCCTCTCCTGACAACAGCATTCCCCTCCACTCCAGGTTAAATGGAAAAAAAAATAAATAAGTTGGCAAGTCCTGTCCCAGCCTCTGGCCATGGGGACGGGAAGCCAAGCTGGGCACACTGCCCCTAAGCCCACTGCTCTCAGCCCTGGGAAAGAACAGGTAAAGTGCAAGGAGAATCCAGTAAGTAAAAATATACCAATGACTTTGTCCAATATACAGCTGCTGGCTGCTAGAGAGGGACAAGGGGCTGGCTGAGCGGGTGGCAGCTGCACCCTGGGGTGGAGACAACGGAAATAAATAGGGGTGGAGAGTGGGCAGGGGTCCCGCCCATTGGGCCTCTGCCGCCCCCTTGCCGCCTGGCCCTGTCCCTGCTCTCGCCGCTGTGGCACTGACACCAAGCACCAGGCTGGCCGTTGGCTGTACGGAAAGGATTATAATGTTGGGAGGGATGTGGAGAGGGGCGGCACGGAGGCCGCGCGGTCAGCCAGGGCTTCGGCCGCTCTCAGTACTCGTCCTGGTCTTCTTGTTGGTGTTCCTCAATTTCATCATCCTCAGGGGGTGCAAATCCTTCCTGGAGGGGGTAGGGGAGGAGCAGGTGGGTTATACCAGCAGCTTAGGAGCCAGCTTCCCTCATGAGTAGGGTGGCCCCAGAGCTCAGGTGTTACATTCCCTGTTAGCACCCATTTCTTCATCAGTTTATATTCTCCAAGGTTCCTTCCTTCTGGCATAAGGGTCCAGGACAGAGCTGGGGAGCGGTCAGAGGGCCTGGGGGCTGCAGCAGGCACAGGGTGGGCTCACCTCTGTGGCGTAGAGAATGCCAATGATGCCCGAGATCACGGGGCTGTTTTCACTCTCATGTTCCTGGCAGATGAGCTCAATGTCACGGAGCTTGCTGAAGTAGAAGTCACGCTCTTTCTCCAGCCCATCTACCGTCAGCTTCAAGTCCAAGAGCTGCAGGGCCAGAGGGGACTCCTGTTAGGACAAGGGATCCCTGCCTCGGAGCCCCTCACCCGCTGGGCCTCCTCCTCCTCCTCTTTGGGCCCTGGCTGGTGGCAGCTCACATCTCTCACCCCATCCCCACTTGCCTGTTGGTTGAGTTCCAGAATTTGGGCGTCGGTCTCATGGCCGCCATTGCGGGCCGCTGGGGGGTTCTTCCGGAGGATGCAGGGTGGGGCTACGTTGCTCAGTCGCCCAGAGGTCTGCATGTTTTTGGGGCCTGTGGGAGATGTCCTCTGTGGAACTGCCCAGAGGACAGGAAGAGGCACATGAGACCACGGGAGCCCATGCCTCCCACGTGGCACGACACGACCTGGGGCGAGGATGGCCATGCGACAGGCAGGCACCCCCATCCCCAAAGAGGGCCTCTACATCTAGGCCTCGAGCCTTGGCCACGCGTGCCACTGCAGCAGTTGGGCAGCCGGCTGGCAAGCCTGGGAGAGCAGAGGGCTGCCGGGAGGTCAAGGGTGAGGTGTGCAGGTGGGGACCTGAGCGACATTGGGAAGGGAAACTGGGGGAAGTGGCGGCCTGGGGGGGCGTGGCTTCAGGGGTCTCCTGTAACTGACAGCTGGAACAGGAGAAATACATCAGAATCCCGCGTGGTCTCTGGTCCCTGTCTTCTGATGGGCTCTGGAGAGCCCTCTGCTGGCCAGGATGCAGAAACTCGGCCCCCCACCCCCATCCCAGCAGAGCCGGCATGCGATGGCTACTTGCTGTCCAGCCAAGGCACCTGCTAGCAGGTGCAGCTGCTTCTAATGCAAAGCAAGCGGGTGGGTGGCTCAGGCCCAGGCGGGACAGCAGCGCAAACGGAGGAGGCGGCCCTGCTATGACGGGCTCAGACGCGGGCTGGGGCTGCTCTCTGCCTCCTCCCCCTCCCCACCCTGGCTGGCCTCCTGTAAGCCTCTCTTGGCTCTAGACAAAAACTCATTTTGAGGGACTCTCAAGGACTTCAGACTCAGCCTTTGGGATGAGGAAGATATGAACAGGCTCCCACAGTCAGCAGGTAAGAAAAGGGGCTGTGGTGCTGGTCTTGGAGGGGTGGGGTCTTGGGCAGACAAACCATGCCACCTCAGGCCCCTTGATCTGGAGGACCAACAAGTTGGCTCATGCTATGGAGCGAGGTGCCTGGGCTTCCTGCCACCAGCTGCCATCGTGGCCGGTGTTGACGGCTCTTCTCTGAGTAGGCTTTGCGAGCCCTCTCGCCCCACTGTGGGGACTGCCTCTAGTCTAGGTGGGGAGCAAGCGACGCCATCTGAACTCCGTGATAACAGTCTCCTCCAGGCGGGGTAGGGCTGGGCCGGTGGACCAGGGGGTGGTGGCTCCTGGCTGTGGAGCCCCCCTCCTCCCCCTGCCAAGCCGGCCCAGCCCCCACACTCCCTTCCCCCGGCTCGGGCACGTTACCTGCTGTGCCAATGAGTTTCTTGGATTTGTTGAAGATCTGATCACCTGGGTTAGGAGGTGGCGCTGCATCCTGGCCCTGCCGCGCCAGCAGCGGGTTGTAATCCTTTCCATCATAGTTTGCGTCAAAGAATTTCTTAAACCACTGAATAAACTCAAAATTATCTTGGAATTTTCCTTTCACTAATTTCTCTACGGGAATGATCTGAAATAGACCACATAACAGAGCACTTTAGCCACCTGCCACTGCCCTGGGAAAGCCAGCCCCCTCCGGGGGGCTGCAGCAGCCTCTGCCACCTCCTCCCCATCCAGCCCCCCAGCAGTCCCGTGCCCGCAACACCGCAGCAGACTGGTCGGCAGGGAGGCCTGGACCTCTCCTGCAGGCAGAGGAAGGAGGGTGTGGGAGGCATCCCTTGGTTCTGCCACTGCCGCTGTGTGTGGGCTGGAGGCTCAGGACCCACCGTTTTGGGGCCATCGAGGCAGAAGAGCAAAAAGCTTTTCTTGGGACCTACAGAGAAATGCAACTTAACAGCATCAATACACAGAATCTTTGGGTCTAGGCTGGGCAGGGCTCCGAGGGGGGAGGGGGGGAGGGAAGGATGATGTTATCGTGGGATGTCAGGTGTGTGTGGGGGCAGCTTTCCCCTAGGCCTCTTGGGCTCCCTCTGCTGCAGGGGTGGGCAGCAACGTAAGCACTGGAGTGACCTCAGCGATGGCCTGGCTGGTGGTCAATCTTCTTTTCCATACCCACACAGCTTCAGAGACCCTCCCCACCGCCCCATCCCAGGGTGCAGACACCTACTTTGTCAACACCCATCTTCTTGAAAGCTGCTTGCAGCACCTTGAAGTTGTGGATGTACTCATGCTCTAGCTTGGCCTGGAACTTCACCTTCCTCAAGTGCACACAGCCAGGGAAGAGCATGTCCATGAACTGGCAGTAGGCTGCCCCTGTGGAGGAGTCGGGCTGCCTGGGCCGTCTCGGCAATGTCTTTCACTTGCCTCCACCACCCAAAAGCCCCAACCCTGGCCCCTGGCCTCCTCTTCTTCCTTTCTCCCTGTCCTGGGGGCAGGGGAAAGCCCTAACTTTCAGGATAGATGTGGCCAGAATCCCCAAGGATAAAAGGATTGCCCAAGAATAAAAGCAGTTACTGCTTATGGATGCATAGCATGGGTCCATAATGTAGCTGCACCACATTAGATGTATGTGTCATCCAATCCCAACAGGAGCCTGTGCTGCACAGGTGCTGGTAGCTCTATCTTAGGGATGGGAAAACTGGCACCAAGAGAACTGAGACTTGCCTAGGGTTCACTGCCAGTGGAGGAGCTGGGATTTGACCCGGAGGATCTAGGCAGGAGCTCATGCTATGACTCTGTATAGCTTTTAACCCATACATATCTCCTACCTCTTGTGTTTCCTAACTTCCACAGCCTGGCTGGTAGAGGTGCCTCCCTCACCCTAGGGGAGCACTGTGCAGGGGTGTGTATGTGTGTGCATACACATGCACCCATGCTCCCCAGCTGCCCTCTCCCTCCCTCCTACGGAGCCTCCTCCCCTCCAAAGCCTTGCACCTGAACACAGCTGCTCAATCTTGGTGTAGTTGAGGTGCAGGGAGTCGTTGACCCACGCAAGCATGTCATGGCGACTCAGATTTTCACTGGTCACGGATGTGGAGTACACATTGACGGCCATACCCCAGCTGCAGAGAGAGCACGGGGCCTCGGTCAGCACCCAGGGGGCTGCAGGCTATTCTCCAGTGGTGATGCTGGCAGCCCCTGAAGCCCCCAGGGCATAGGAATGGCATGGCTCTGCACACCAGCCTTACAGTCCACCCCCTCTCCCAACCCTTCCCCAGAAGGTGTTGCTTATCTACTCTCTAAATGCTTAACAAGTGCCCTTGGTCTGCTGGATGCATGCCAGGGGCTGTGCCTACCACAAGAGAGTGCCCTGGGCAATGGCTAAAGCACAGCCAAGTTCAGGAGTGGCCCAAGGAAGGGCGTGATCGCATCTGCTTTGGCAGGGCCAGTGAGGGCTCTGGAGCCAGGGGCGTTGGAGCCTGAAGGGGGTAGGAATTTTCCAGACACACAGAGGGCTGGGGTGGGAGGGCGGCACAGCACAAGGAAGGTGGGGGACAAAGACATGGCTTGTTCCTGGCATGCCCAGTGACTGTGCAGGCTAGGGCAGCAGGATTTTGAGTGGGGGCATGGTGCAATGAGGTTGGCATGGCCCTCACTGACCCCGAGGAGGAGTCTGGGTTTTCTATTTTGACCAGCAGAGGATCCAAGGCAAACGGGAACGGGGCCAGATTCGCATTGCAGAAGGCCCTCTACCCCACCACCTCTGCTCCTGCTCTCTGACTCCATATTCCTGTGGCCAGAGGCACCTAAATTCTGCTCATCCAGAATCTTAAAGCTTCCGTATTATTCCCTGAGGATGTCACCGCTGGTCCTGAATCCTGCAGGCCAGGAATGCCAGGGGTCACCCTGGGCCAGCCCAACCATCCTGCTCACATTCACTCCCTTCCTCCAGCTCACTGTGCCCAGCAAACAAGAGCTCCAAGGGTCTCCCAGCCTGCAGCCTTCCTCCCCAGGCCTTGGCCCTCTCAGCCAGAAGCTGTAAATCAGGCACTCCTGGCAACACTGATCTCACAGACGCGAATGGTTTTAGCACACACAAGTATTAAAAACAATTTTGGATTAGTGGCCGATATTTTAAGCTTGGGGTGATTCACACAAACAATTGGGGATTTTTGTCTGCTGATGGTGACTGGACACATCAACCTGCACCTCCACTAACAGCTGGAGCCATGTAGGGGTGCCCTCTTCTGACCAGCAGGTGTGAGTGCCTGTCCACCATGCCGCATGCCCACAAGGCCAGTGTTAGTATGCTACTGACCACTAAACTGGTCTACTACATAGAGATGCTTTTAATAACCCAGTCTGTACCGGAAATGGAAAGGCAGAAGATGGACCAAAAGAGCTGTGTATTCTTAGAACTGTGAAAGTGCATGTTTTGGAGTAAAGGGTATTTCTTTTCCTTTTTTTTTTCTTAGATTTTATTTATTTTTATTGGAAAGGCAGAAATAGAGAGGAGGAGAGACAGACAGGAAGATCTTCCGTCCGATGGTTCACTCCCCAAGTGGCTGCAATGGCTAGAGCTGAGCCAATCCAAAGTCAAGAGCCAGGAAGCTCTTCCGGGTCTCCAAAGCGGGTGCAGGGTCCCAAGTCTTTGAGTTGTCCTCGACTGCTTTCCCAGGCCACAGGCAGGGAGCTGTATGGAAAGTGGGGCTGCCGGGATACGAACTGGCGCCCATATGGGATCTTGGTGCATTAAAGGTGAGGACTTCAACCACTACACTATCATGCCAGGCCCATCTTTTCAGGCTTAATATGCAAAGTAGGGGTTGGCACCTGAAATGCCAGCATCCATCCCCCCACCCTCCCCATATCAGTTGAGTCTCAGCTGCTCCATTTCCAATCCAGCTCTCTGCTAATGCCCCTGGGAATGCAGCAGAAGATGGCCCAAGTGCTTGGGCTCCTGCCACCCATGTGGGAGATTCAGTTGGAGTTCATGTCTTCTGGCTTCAGCATGGTCCACATCTGGCTGTTAGAAACATTGTGAGTGAACCAGTGAATGGAATAGTTAAAAAATTGTTTCTCTCTGTCTCCTCCTTCCACCCCCTTGTAACTCTGCCTTTCAAATAAAGAATAAATAAACCTTTAAAGACAGGCAAAGAGTGTCTGGGAAGAAATATTTCCCTGTCTTCCAGAGTACCTGCTGTTACACTGTTAGCCCTCCCAGGCACCTCCAGTCTTCCAAGGACACCCCACCTTCCCAGCTTTAGCTCCTTCGGGAACCACAGTCAGCTCTCACTCTGTCTAGAATGCTTTCCCCACCCCAAATTCACTCATTCTTTGCTCCAATGGGTCTCAAACTATGGTCCCAAGCGAGCAGTACTGGAGTGCATCTGTTGGTTAGAGATTCCACTGCTTGTGGCCCACCCCCAGCCAGCTCAATCACAATCTGACTTTAACCAGGATGCCCAGAGGCAAGATGGTGAATCCCTGCCTCGGCTAGAGGAGGGGGCTTCAGCTCAGACCCCTTACCCCAGGCATTTACAGCAGGACCTCCATACTCACACACATTCAGTCAACTTTTTGGAAGATAAAGCATTAGAGAGAGAAGTCTCCTATTTATGCCTGGTTCTCCCTGCTCTTAAAAATAAACCCTGTTCTCCACTGCTCAGGGAAAAGGAGCCAGACAGCGGCCCAAGGCCAAGAGAAACAAAAATTATTGTCTGGAGAGCTTTTAAGGACCTGGCAATTTCAGATTTCCCAGGGTAAATCTGATTGCACTTGAGTCTTGACTTTCACATGGCTTTGAGCCCGATGCACTGCACCCCAGCCCTCGCATACCCCTACACTTCTTTAAATGCTTGCCCCTTTGCCAGGAAGGGCCATGGAGTCAGGAACATGACTTTCAGACCCGCCACAGCAAGACAGGAAAACCATGACACCTCGTCAAGGCTCCTCTGTTTGTCCCATCGCCTGCTGGCCTGGAACCCCTACCCTCCACTCTATGGTGTGTAGGTCTCAGCTTGGGTTAGCTCCAGGACACTTTCATTAACCTGTGTGGGACAGTGCCCTGCCTCTGTGTCCACAGATCCCTGACCTTCAGGCGGGTATGGGGGTGGAGGACACATCAGAACATTCCTCGCATCCTTTAAAAATTGTCACTATTCCTTCCACCTGGTAGTGGGATGCACTGGCAAGGACTGGAGCCAAGAGGGTGTCATCTGCCCCCAGGGAGTCACCCAAGGTAACCACAGGAGGAGGAGGAGGAGGAGGAGGGGGTAAATGGACCCGTAACTTCGAATGAGGTGAACAGGTAAGTGAAGGAGAGTATACTATTTCAAGGAAAGTTCACTTACTTTTGGACTGTGAGAGATGGAAAGGATATACTCAACACAGACACACACACACACACACACACACACACACCAACCAGGACAACCAAATGTCCCAAAGCATGGTGAATGGAAATCAGGAGAGTGGGCTTGCAGAGTTAGGATGGAGGAGCCCAAGGTATGAGTGGTCAGGCTGCCAGGTCTGATCTGGGCGTCTGTAGGGATCTGTGGGAGTTGGGAGCAGAGGATACACACAACCCTGCTAGCTGTCCCCTGCTAGTGGGGTTACCCACAGTTTCTGAGGGCTCAGAGACTCCTTTTTCCAGGCTTTAGGTGATGGTGACTCAGGGCCAGTTGGGGCTCACACACTGTTGAGCCTCAGGGGATCGGGCTGCTCAGCATGGGTCTAGGGATACAGGATGGTACCTTGCACCTTGGGCATGCCTGAAGCACTCGGGGGAGTTCTGCTCTGTTTCGTCTGAGTTTCAGAGGCTGAGTACTGAAGAGAAGCAGAGCAAGGGTCCTATGCAAGCCTGTGCTCCAAAGTTTGATGGAAATCATGTGAGCTTTTGCGGTCTTCCAGTCTGAGGGCAGCCCTTTCTGGGATTCCAGAACATTTTTCTGGGTAGCAGAAGCAGGCTGGAGGAGCACCAAGGGTGTGAATATTGTGTGTCTCACACACACTTCATACCCCAGGGCAAATCTGTGTGCATTGTCAGGTGTCACAGCCATAGCTCACAGCAGGTGCCTGCGTTTGCCTAGTTTACTGGCTTGTGTCACAGTGGCACAAGCAGGGACACTGGGCTGTTTGGCTACTTTGCTGGGAGAGGATGGGGAGGGGGCGGAGGAATGTCAGCCATCTTCTGTGGTACACAGACCTTGTGAGTCTGCAGGAGCTACAGAGCTCCTTGGAAAACGCGCAGGACTTCCCACCGGGGCCAGACATTCCCAGTTTTGTCATTGTCTGATGACTCCTATGATGATGGGAGGGATTTTCCCACCCGGACCAGCCTGGATCTAAAAATTACCCAAGTGGCAGCTGTGCCTGTAAGAAGGCAGTTTCAGGGCCTGGCCATCCATCGTGCTGTCATCCTGGGCAGCGGGGAGGGGAGGGGATTTTACAAAGGGGCAGCTAGTGCTAGGAATAGAGCCTTTGTATCCACTCAGGACTGGCTCAGGTTCTTGTTCTAAAATTTATTTGACAGGGAGAAGGGGAGAGAGGAAGTAGGGGAGGAGGGGGAGGAGGGAGAGGGAGGAAAAAGAAAAAGGAGAGGGAGTGGGAGAGGTCTGCCACCTACTGGTTCACTCTTCAAATACCTGAGTCAGCCAGGCAGGCATCCAGGCAAGCCAGAAGCCAAGGACTCAGTCTGGGTCTCCCATGCCAGGGGCAGGGACCCAAGCCCGTGGTGGCTCAGGTTGTTCTAGGTGACGCAACCCACTCTCCTTGCTGAGGACCCAGTAGGCTCAGGAGGACTCATCCAGGGTACCCAGGTGTGTGCAGGAATTCCCTATCCTGCACACCACAGCTTCACAAAGAAACCAGCCCTGTGTTCTCCCAGGCCTCTCGGCAAGCTGGGAAGGGCACAGCGCCCTCTCTTTTTCTCGCCGTCAGCAGAACTCAGCATGGCCAGCAGATGGCAGCCAGGCCCTGAGCAGAGAAAGCGCGTTTTCTCCATCTCTCCTTTTCCTGTAGCCCAAATCAGAAAAGGGAGAATCCTGAACTTTCTCTAGTCCCCAGAGAAAGACAGGCTCCATCCAAACCTAGAGGGCCTGGAAGAGGGGTGAGCCAGGAT